GAGGATTTGGGAGTCCAGCCAGGATGAAGATGTAGATGTCCTTCTGCTGGGCTCACAGCTGAAAGGACTGTCTGTGTTAGAAACTCAAGCATTCACCAAGACCAGCTGCATTCTCCTCAATGCCTCTGTTTTCTCCCCACCTCTGAAACTTCTATGCCAATCCAGGCCTTGCTCACATCACACCTGAATGATCCCAGCAAGGCCCTCACAGTGACACTGCCCCAGACTTTCCTGTCCTATACAAGTTGCTCAGCTAAACACCCAGCCTGGGGCTCTGGCAGAGTTAGTGGTTCCATGTTATGCTTCTGTCTTTGCAAAGATCCAGTTTGTGCCGTTCAAATTATTCTCTCCAGCTCTGGGTAAACTGCCTGAGACTGGAGATCAGCCATGAGATCTCAGTGAGGGATCAGGGCTCTTTGGGAAAGTGGCATATTGTCACAAACCCTGGGCAAAACCTGCCCTCTTAACTTCAGCACTCATTCACAGAAGGAAGTGAAAATGCCAGCTAGGCTGTCACGAGGAGTTTTCAGTGAGTTGTTTTACTTGGCTTTGTCTCAGTTTATGGAAAATACATTGTCAACAATGCCTTCTTGTTGTGAAGCTAAAATAAAGGAGGGTGGGATTTCTCCTTTAAATGTATAAGATGCTATAAGAATTGAGGCACTTAGGACTTACAGTGGAGGATGTAAGGTCATAAGAGGGAAAAATATGATTCAGAAAACTTCAAAGATGAAGGAGGTATATGGAAGACCATAAAGTGATGGAAGCTTATTGTTCACTTAAGTGCAGCCCTCAACTTTAGATGCCTCCAACTATTCAGGGCCCAGGCACAGAGGAATGTTTGTTTGATGTGACCCAAGGACAGATACCAGTGTCAAAGACCAGCTGATACTCAGTTCCTTCCTCCTGCTGCCCCAGGTGACTCTCCAGTCTTCGGACCCACTTTAGGGGACAATCAATTTACCTGGACAATTGTGATTATCCATGATGGGAGGAGGTTTCCCTGGTGATGACATGACTGGGCTGCAGTTTACTTTTCCAAAAAATAACTTTTTTATGAGTTTGACTTAATGGTGTAAGATCGCCTCTGATTACACATGCATCATGCTCTCATATGTCCTTTGTTTCGTGACACCAATGATCCAAAATGGCCATACGTTATTCCATGGGATAGGATGTCACTCATTCATTAATGACTAACCTATCCATTCATATTAAATGAGCATCCACCAGTGTCATTTTGAACTTCAGTAAAATGGCCATGCATACAAAGGCCCAGTAGGAGGCTTGACCGGAAGAAATGCCATTGGGACTCATCACTGGACCCTGTCTCAGAGGTCTTGAGTGCACAGATTTTGACTAAGTAAATGCTCTGTCTCATTCAAAAAGAGAGAGCCAAAGATGGGATCCTAGGATACTGATGCCAAGGACCAACACCATCTTCCTCTCCAGTGCCCCCTCCTGCCATCCCATTCCATGTTTTGATGTCAAGTAGAAGTGAATAGGTCATAGACAGAAGACCACAAGTGTCACTTCTGCTATGGGTCTTGTCCTTTTTGGCCTCAGTAGGCCTATTTTATGACTTGGATCTGGAATGTTCCCCAAAGTCCCATGTGTTGAAGGGTTGTTCCCCAGACTTTGGCACTATTGAGAGCTATTGGAACATTTAGGAGGTGTGGCTCCATGGAAAAATGCTGGTCGTTGGGAGTATGTCCTTGGAGGGAATATTGGAACCCTAGCCCCTTTCTGCTTTTCTCTTTGCTTCAGGGCCACCAAGAAGTGAAAAGCTTCCTCTGCTGTATGTTCCCACCATGATGTACTTGGCACCATAGGCCCAAATCAATGGGGCCAAACAATGATGGACTGAGACCTCCAAAACCATGAACCAAAACAAACCTTTCCTTATTATAAGTTGATTATCTCAGCTATTTTGTCACAGTAACAGAAAGCTGACTTGAAGAACACATTTGGAGAACGGGAGAAAGAATCCCAATTTCTGATAAAGCAGTCTCAGGTGCTTCTTTTGCTCCAGGGAAAGAGTTGGGCAGAACTGATAAACTTAGATCTTAGTCAACCTGATGCAGGAAAGGCACTGACAGCACAGAGGAATGCTGCTAGAGAAGGCCTTTGCAGACTCTGTCCAGCTCTATAGAGAGGTCAAAACTTCTGTAAAGAGCCAAGAATCATTGGGAAGGCTTCTTCTAAATCCTAATCCTGTCTCCTAAACCAACTATTTACCAGCACCTGAAAGCAGGCAATGTTCTGTACACAAAAAGCCAACTTCACAGTCTAGACTCCTGGGGGCTTTGGCTGGCCAACATTTCCAGAGACATTCCCCAGGAAACCGACAGCATTTCAAGTCAGCACATCTGACAGGTTGCTATTGCCCCTTGCAGCTCAGGGGTCACAGAGAGCTGGCATTTTCACTTCCTTCTGTGAATGAGTGCTGAAGTTAAGAGGGCAGGTTTTGCCCAGGGTTTGTGACAATATGCCACTTTCCCAAAGAGCCCTGATCCCTCACTGAGATCTCATGGCTGATCTCCAGTCTCAGGCAGTTTATCCAGAGCTGGAGAGAATAATTTGAACGGCACAAACTGGATCTTTGCAAAGACAGAAGCATAACATGGAACCACTAACTCTGCCAGAGCCCCAGGCTGGGTGTTTAGCTGAGCAACTTGGCCTAGGATAGGGATGGCTTATTTTTCTTAACCACTGAACTCTGTCCATTCCATTCAATCAAACTTAAGCACACTAGAATTCCCCATTCTTTCCCAGCTGGAGCCCTTGTCAGCTGCTCTCCGGCCAATGGTACTTACTGAGCACCCACTAGGCCACCGCATGTGTGCTGGAGGTGGAAACAAGTTGTCTCTGCCTTCAGAATTTTGGGTTCTTAAGACAACTGCAACACTCAGTATCCTTCAAGCCTTGAATTGCTCTACCAAGTCCATGCCTTCCAGTGTGCTAAATGTCCCCTCTTACACTACTTGGATGGGAGTCCCCTCCTTGCCCCACATTCCCCTTCCTTTACCACAAGAGCATCTTTTCAGTTCTGCAAACACATCATGCTGCCTATTGCCCTGACCCATGGTGTTCTCTCTATCTGGAACATTTTCCCTTTCCACTCTCACTTTAAAGGAACCCCCTAAGAGAGATCTTCCCTTACTACCTCTATAAAGCAGATCTCTGTATCCCCCCGCCACCTCTCCCTCTCTCAGCACCAGCTTTGCAGAACTTACTAAGATTTGTTTACTTGGTTACTTATTTATTTATGACTCTCTTACAACACTAAGACTTCTGAGTGAACAGGAATGGTGGTGTGTGTTTTGTTCTCCCCTAGCCCCTGTGTCTTGCACAGTACCTAGAATAACTGGAAGTGTTCAGTAGGTAGCTGCCAAACAAACGGAAGATATGCCCTGTGAGTGAGTCTGGAGTAGGAATGGGTCAGATTCTGGAGGTCTTTGCCAATGACAATGACCTGACTATTCTGGAAGCAAGATAAGTTTCTGAAGTATTTAAGCAGGGGAGACTCGCAAGCAGACTATGACTACAGCCCCCTCCGCTCTTCTGTTGTATGGAATGGACTCAGGTTGGGGAGGGCAGACAGAGGTAGAGAGACTGGAACCTGTGTACCAGCAGCCTGGCTGTCACCTCATCTTGGCACCTGTTAGAATCTCAGGCCCACCCCAGATCTGCTACACCTGAATCTGCATTGTATCAGGACCCCCAAGTGACTGTCCACACATCTCACGTTTGGGCCTCAGTGAAAGACAATGATGCCTCAGGGAATGGGGGATGAAAATGATTCATCAGTGTCCCCCATAAGTGCACTATTCCAGACGTGTAAACTCTTCCTCCTATAAGCTGTCAGAGGTCAAGGAGAAGAAGGGAAAGGGGAATGGCAGGTTGAGCTAAGCTGAGGTAGTCTGGGGCTATTCAGCCAGGATGTACTAGCTATGACCTTGGACAGAGAAGTTCCAAGTCACAGACAGGTTTGCAGTTGTAGAGGCAGGAACTACTGGCTCTGGCCATGAAGAGTCAACTTTTTTCTTCTTACTATGTTTCACCAGCATGTAGCACATTGCCTGGTGCATAGGAAGGATTCAAATGATACTTGTTGAATGAATACAGGAAAGGATCATGTCATGGTTATGCTACTGAGGCCTTAAAGTCAGTTACAGGGCTCTGAGTGTAAGCCAGACCCAGACATACTTTCTAGCTTCCTGTTTTGTTAGAAAAACGTGTAAATCTAAGAGGATAAAACTCTACTTTCAGTAAACAAAAATGTGATCTATGCATCACAAAACCACTAGGAGAGAGTGTTCACAACCTCAGAATAATATGGATTAGCCTCTAAGGACAACAGGCCTCGAGGGTTCTCCCAACCCATTCAGGCTCTGTGGTATGAAAGTCTGTAGGCATCACAGAAAAAACAAAAGCCATCAACTGTGCTGCAGAAAGGATGACTGCAGGGCAGGGGGTGGGGTACCAGAAAGGCCTGAGACCCATTTAGCAGTATGGCCAGAGGCAGCCAAAGTGTTCCCTACAGCAACTTGCTATCCATAAAATCCATTCTGCAAATGGAACCTTCTACAGAAGCATAAGAAGGCAGATGAGAGCAGAACTCTACTCCCTGCACCATGCTGACTACAAACCAGCAACTACAGCCTCCCTCTTTCTGCTGCCTCCCATTGGCTGAGTCATGTGATTTGCATCTTCTGAGCAGCGTGCTTTTTCACCTCTCCAGGTGCCTCTAGAGTCACATCTCATTCACAGACACACCCTGTCCCCTTAGGAGTGTAAACAGAGCAGTTACACAAATACATAGTTATGCATCTTTATGTTGTATGCCTTCTTGGTCTGAGGCTATCTCTGAGCTTGTTCACATGGTAGCTTCACCAGTACAAGACCCAGAGCTGCTCAGGCCCTTTTTTGGGCATTGAGACTTGACAAGCAGACTTGGGGTATTTTCTACGACAAAAAAGAAAAGAATGAAGACCAACCTTGGATGTGTAGGTATGGCCATCAGACCCGCAGACCATGGCTGACTGTGCCACAGGACAGGGCTTGCACTTGACCAAATTCGAAGGTCCAACCCAGTGTTTGTGGACCACATTCCCCTTCTTTTGCCTAAGAATGAGAAGAAGAGGGGATAAGTTAGCTGAAGCTTGGTTCTCATTGGTTTTCCATCCAGGTTCCCAGAGTACAAGGCCAAATATGTAAATGTAGCACTCCTCCAACAGACAGGAGGATCCTGAGGGTCCCTAGACACGATACCCATTTATTCTAGCTCACTGATAGGAAGCCAAAGATTTTGTCTCAAAAGCTTGGGTTCCACCTAACAGTGAAGTCAAGAAAAATGGTGTAGCCATTAAAATGTTCTAAAACATTGCTTATTGACATGGAAAGAAATTCACAATGCATTTTAAAGGAATGATAAGGACTGTGGCTTCATCAGCTCCAATGCCAGGTGTGTCATATCACAGGTGCCCAAAGTAGCTTCCCAGAGCTCCTTCTTTAGGGTGATACACAGGCTACTCTGTGAGCACTTTAGACAGAAATGCATCTCCAAACACAGTGACAGACTTTACCACAGATGTAGAAAATGATCTCTGGATATATCTTAAGCAATTTCAACCCAGTTTCCAATTTGCCACTTGATAGAGGCTCTGAGGTGATGTCACTTCCAACTGTTAAAATCATCAGAATTCTCCTTTTCGTCGCAGCTCCAGTTTTCCCATTCTAACCTTTGTCATAATGACAAATGGCACCATTAGGGTGGCTTGTGTCCACAGAAGTAACCCCATCTCTGTATCATAAAGTACTGAAATAAAGGCCTACAGCTACTGCCCCCCTTCCTCCCTGAGCCACACTCAACCTCCCAGCAAACACTTGTACCAACACCCATTGCTGTGGGGCTGAACCTTTGGGTTCAGGACAAGTAACTCTAGGTTGCCGATCAATCAAGCAATTATGGTGCCCTTGAAGTGTTTTGCACTGGCAGTCCTGCAAGGTGGTTAGCATGTAGACTCTGAAGTCAGAAAACACAAGTTCAAACTCAGTTCTGCCACTTATTCACGGTGTGACCTTGGTAAGAGATTGAACCCTGCAAACCTCAGTTTCCTCATCTGTAAACTTGAGACAAGTGGCAGTTATGATGACTAATTAGCTGATGTGTATAAAGATTCAGTGCCCACAAAACAGGAAGCAAAAAAAAATGGTAGTAATTACTATGCTACTGTTTACCCCAGTAGATGATAGTATAGAGAAGGAAATTACCACTACCATAGAAGTATAATTGATCTTTAGGCCCTAGTCTTGGAGGTCCTTCAATTTCCCACAACAAATCCTGGGTCCCAAAGAAGGATATCTTTTCTATCAGGCGAGGAATGATGCTTCAGTCCCCCAGGAATTCAGGATTGGTGTCTCAGGTAACCTACCTTCTTCTAAATGAGAGTAAGTGAGCAAGAAAGAATATGAACAAAGCAATCGGCAGCAGATTGGTTCCTTTCCTACCTTACACCTGCCCCAGCAATTTGAGGGAGGCAATAAGAGGAAGAAGGTATGTTTGCAGAACTACATTATAGAGAGACATCAAATAGGATGAGTGAATACTCAGGGCACAGCCCTTGGAGCAACTGGAGAACCAGGCTGAGGAGGATACACTGCCGAGCCTTTCCAGAGAAGAAAGTCCCACAAGAGTCCTTCAGGGTCATCTAATCCAACTTGCCTGTTTTACTGAAGGGAAACACTGAAACACAAAGAAGGGCAGAGTATTGCCTGAATTGAGGATCTGAACTGATGAGAAGATCTAGAGTGGTATCCACACCTGCAGAGTGTCCAATGATAACTCTCTTTCTGGCCCTTCCCAGAATACCAGCTACAAAATTCTTCTAGGAGTAACAGAGGGGGTGAATTCGATCAAATACATTTTATGCATGGATGGAAATATTACAATGAAACCCCTTTGTACAATTAATATGTGCTAATCTTAAACATTCCTTGTGTGTGTGTGCCCCTCTCCAATGCATCCCTGCTACTACAGTGGCTACCAATGTTAGCCTTGCCTCTCTATCTGGAATTTAAAAAATAAACCTATCATTTGATTTTATAGATCACATGGATTTGAGGTCTTCTTATTATCCTTCACCAGACATGCTTTACCCTTTTCCAGTCTGGTCTGGACTACTGGCAAAGTGACATTAGGTGGGACTTCATGTAGCAGAGGAGCAGGCTGTTAGCACGCAGTTAATCTTAGGGTATATGATTCTGTTTGAAGAACACCACACATTCATCATTACTCGCACAGCAGATTGTCTGACACTGATAATGAATCAGAAGAAATTCCTGCATCTGGTAGCCCCTCTCTTGGGGCAGTCCCCACATGGCTAAAGCAACTCTTTTTTTTAAATTTTTTTTATTTTATTATTCATATGTGCATACAAGGCTTGGATCATTTCTCCCCCCTGCTTCCACCCCCTCCCTTACCACCCACTTTGCCCCCTTCCTCTCCCCACATCCCCTCAATACCCAGCGGAAACTATTTTGCCCTTATCTCTAATTTTGTTGAAGAGAGAGTATAAGCAATAATAGGAAGGAACAGGGTTTTTGCTGGTTGAGATAAGGATAGCTATACAGGGCATTGACTCACATTGATTTCCTGTGCATGTGTGTTACCTTCTAGGTTAATTCTTTTTGATCTAACTTTTTCTCTAGTTCCTGGTCCCCTTTTCTTATTGGCCTCAGTTGCTTTTAAGGTATCTGCTTTAGTTTCTCTGCGTTAAGGGCAACAAACGCTAGCTAGTTTTTTAGGTGTCTTACCTATCCTCACCCCTCCCTTGTGTGCTCTCGCTTTTATCATGTGCTCGAAGTCCAATCCCCTTGTTGTATTTGCCCTTGATCTAATGTCCACATATGAGGGAGAACATACAATTTTTGGTCTTTTGGGCCAGGCTAACCTCATTCAGAATGATGTTCTCCAATTCCATCCATTTGCCAGCGAATGGTAACATTTCATTCTTCTTCATGGCTGCATAAAATTCCATTGTGTATAGATACCACATTTTCTTAATCCATTCGTCAGTGGTGGGGCATCTTGGCTGTTTCCATAACTTGGCTATTGTGAATAGTGCTACAATAAACATGGGTGTGCAGGTGCCTCTGGAGTAACCTGTGTCACAGTCTTTTGGGTATATCCCCAAGAGTGGTATTGCTGGATCGAATGGTAGATCAATGGCTAAAGCAACTCTTGTCTAAAGTTTCTAGAAAGGAACCATGAAGTCCAAAGAATGGCAGCTTTTCTGGAGCAAACATGACCATGTGCAATGATGTTTCAGAGAAATGAAGTGTAAGGGAGCTCAGCAAAAGATAGGGGAGGAAGACGTGAACATTGAACCAATGGCTTGGAGAAAAAGATGGAACAAGCTATCAATCACCTGCTAATGACAAGTGCTCTCTGGTTCTGGGCCTCAACTTCACCATTAAATTAAGTTTATTAAGGGGAAGCAAGGCAGTGAAGCCGGTGCCTCTTGGATGCTTAATACATCCCTGGCTTATCCCCTATGTACTGACTGCATAGTGGTCATTCCACAGTTAACCACAAAATCACAGGAGGCCAGAACCAGAAAACACCTTAAAACTAATCAAGGCCAGCAACTTTATTTTATAACTGAGGTATTAGAGATGCAGAGGGAAAATGACTTGTTGCATCACTGCGACATATGGTGGTCACATTGCATATATTTATCCAGGAAATTACTACACTGATCTAGGACCAGTTTCATCTCCTGTCTGGGATCTGTACCTTCATTACCAGAGTTCAATTTTACAACTAGTGCTCCCTTGAAATACTGGCCCCTAGCTCTCTAGCTGAAGAGGAGTGAGCTCAGCACTCAGTGGCAGGTGGTTATGGATCGTGTTCCAGGTAGAACTACCTTTGGCCTTTCCTAGAGTGCCTTGGGGATTTTGGTAAAAAAGCTAAGCCATTCTAAATTTTCTCAGTTCTAAAGAAACAAGAATATCTGTAATATTGGGGCAAACCCAGGGTTCCTTGCTTCTACTATATAGGACTTTAGTGGAGAGGGTCTCTGTCTAGGATTTACATATGTAAAGTTATATACAAGTATATGTGAGCCAAGAAGGCATAACTTCACTGGCAATCTTGTGTGTATTTCAATTCCCACAGTTCAGTGCAAATCATAAAAATAACCAGCCCAGCTGAGGCAAGGGACCAAGATTTCTAACTCAAATATTTCAACTCTTGAATCAATGAAGAGTGAAATCCAAGGAAGTTGTCTTGATGGTATTGCTATGCCCGGTGTTACAGACATTCATCAACTGTGGTGACACACAAATTTGAGGTAGGTCACATCTCCCGTCTCCTTGGCCATTAAAGTGACTCCATCTCAGGCTAGCTGGGCTGAGGGATGTACTACCTCCTACAGGCTGATGGTATCAGACAGAAAATTCCAAGCTACAAGCCCTCCACAGGAGACAAAACAGACAACCAGTACATCGTGGTAATTTCCTATTTCTTTGTTAAACTACTTAGTCTTAATCCCTTTTTAAAGGTCTACCAAATCTCCCAGCATTTATGTTTTTGATAGAGAAGGATGATTCTTCAGCATTAATGTGATCATGTGACTCCCATACTTGGAAACCTCTACTTCTCCCTGGCCTCCCAGGGCATACTCTAGTCTGAGTTTTGGTGTTAAATTGCCCAGTCTGCCTCCACAGGCTGTTTGCCCTAATCCCATTTCCAACACACACACACACACACACACACACACACACACACACACAACACACACACACACACACACACACACACACACACACTCCATGACCACCACCAATTTTTGCTCCAGCCACTTTTAGGTATTTTCCAGAGCCCAACAGGACCTTAGTGCCTCTATACCATCAAGTGGCCTTTTCTTCAATCTCACATACCTACATCCCAACTTGCATTTCTCTCCTCCACCCTCCTTTCTTCAAGGCCAGCTTAAATAGCACCTCCTCACAATGCATCTTGGGCCCCTCCATGGGTAGAGAGCTGCATGTTTGCTCCTCCATGGCCCTATGAGCTCTCTGACCAGGTCACATTCCAAGCCAGCACCTTGATACCACTCAAC